TTTTTTTTCTGATGATTCCTTTCGACGTTATTATCATATTGGAACAATAAAAAGAAGGGGTCACCGGACTTGTTTTCATGCAATAGCTTTCGTGAGTTTAGCAATTTCCACGCGCGTTCTCGCGCATTTAAAAATCTGGATTCTATAAGATCGACATTTGCTCATGATCTGTTTTAGCTACCGCTGACAATTGCGTGTGCTCGCGCGAGCACCTACGATCTGATGTTTACAGACGTTTACTGCTAAGAAAATCATTAAACAGCCGTCAAAGACAGCCTCCCGAGCTCATCTTAAAAATCCTACACATGACTTCTGGCTATATCATATTATTTTCCTTGAAGTTTCAAAGTCTTCTTCCACTTCAGGTAGATTATCCTTCACTTGAGTTCTTCTTTTTTCGCCGTCGCAAGATTTCATATCGGTTGAATATTTCTTTTAAATGTGAAGTGAAGCAACCTTTACTTCTCCGAAAATCGTCTTCGTTATCTTAGTTTCTATCTCCTGCATTCACAGTGGCCGCTCAACACATCAAATACAAGCTCTTAGGTAAACTTCTCACAAAAGTAGAAAAAATTCCACGCGCCGCCATCTTTGTTTTGGATTTTCATCTTTTGATCTCGCGCTTCTTTCGCACGTTTCTCTCGCGCGCGTCACGCAAGAGTGACCTGTTCCCCGCGCGAGGAAACTGGTACGAGCCACCTTAAGCAAAACGTGACTAAAATTGTTTTTTATTTTATCCTGATCCTTTTTTTTTTTTTTTTGCAGGTTATGGTTATATCATCTTTTATCTCATCGTCTACATCGTCCTGGAAAACTTCATCTTCATGAAGTAAGGAATGGTTCTTGTTGATATTGTTTTTATTGCTGCTGTCGGCGTCGGTATACTGTATCATTTTATTATTGTATTAAACAGAGACTCTGTCACACACCTGCAAATCTCTCTGAAGAGCATTACGTTAAGTGAAAATGTTTAAAACTAGTGGCTGACACAAGTAAAATAATGATCTTCCCTGCTGATTCCCTGTTTCTCCTAGTCTGTTCGTGGCAGTTCTGGTGGATAACTTCCAGCGAACCATCACCGCAGTGGAAAAGCCTCACAAGAAACACAGCGGGATTCAGTACAAGAGTGTCTTTGAAGACGTGAGATTCAAGAATACTGCAATATACTTAGACCCGATGAAATTGAATGTGAAAAACAATTTTTAACCAATTATTATTGTCGAAGGCAATCCTTTTTGCTTCACTCCGGTTTGTGATTGGTCTAAAGAATTTACGCTATTCTTTCGACCAATCAAACGCAAAACGGAAATCAGTCTTTTTTTTTTTGTTTTTGTTTTTTTTTTTATCCCAGTATGAGTTTATATTTTCCTGGTGATATTGCCTTTTATTCTAATTGGCTGTTTAACAAATCGAGTGTGGTTTAGCGTGGTCTGCTCTCCTATCGACAACGACATGCGCAAGTCATTACAGCGGTCAAAATGTTGTGGACTCACGAGGCGCAGCTAAGTGATTCCGCGACCAATTTTGGCCATTGTAATGACGAATATCGTTGTCAATGAGAGTACAGACCGCGCTAAACAACTCTCGATTTGTTTATCACAATATCAACGTCAAGATTTCCGAGTAATCTATGTTTGAGAGCTGATAAAGGCATTGCGTGACACGTTGACGGGAGCAGCGTTGTCTGTGCGCTGATCAATAAAGGCTAATTGGTTAATCAGATTGCTACAATTATTGACAATTGTGATAAAAAGTGATCTTGATTTATAACAAACTCAGTCGAAATGCTATCTACGAACTGGTAGCATACTGCCCAGCAGATGTTGTGGTACCAATCCCTAATACTTTTTAAGGAGTTTCTACACGCAAACATTGTTCTCGCTTGGGTTTTTTCCAAAACCTTTCATTTATATTTTTAAGAAAAGTCTTGTCTTTGCTGTTTTGTTTTTATCAGCAGGACGTTTCCTTTTTATCATTAACATAATGGCGTTATCAAAAGTCACCCAGATAAACTAATCCGGAAAGTGAGTTAGTGAAAGTTCGACGTCCAACGGACAGTTCACCGTCCGCATTGCAGAAAATCATTCGTTCTTTCTTTTTTTTAATGCGTTTATTAGGCAAAGCTAGACGAACGTGGAAGGGCGTACTCTTTCTCAGACAATTCTTACTCCGAACTTGAAGGTAAAGATAACAGGAGAAACTTAGCAGGGGTTGTGGGAGTCCGTGCGAGTGGCCTTATGGTTAGTGCACTTGAGCTCAGGTCGAGAGATTTGGGTTCGAGATCTGGTCGGAAATTGTGTTGTGTTCTTAAGCCCGACACTTTATCTTAAAGGGAGCATATCCATTAAGTTTGCGTCAAGTGGACACCCTCATGTCAAACATTCTCATAGGCCGAAGTGGAAGTATTACACAGAAATCATCGTGATTTTTTTAGAGATTGGTTTTCCTGTTTTTACTTACAGTGAATATGGGGTTAAAGGGAAACGCGAATGTAAATCCTTTATACTAGATAATACAATCTATATTCCTTTGCTTTATATCACAGTTTCAGTAGACGAGGAGGAGGAGGAAGAAGACTCCGACATCGGGATTGCGAAAAAAGTCGAGGACTACTATCCTGAAAATAAATTCTCTGCCAGGTAGAAATAGATCGCAAGTTCCTACTTTTAGTTGCTTTAACCTTTTTACTCCTGAAGATGCCTAACAAGTGATTTCTCGTCATAATATCAACACCATTTCCAGTAAAAAGATGATGACAACAATGAAAAGCGTCAACTCGACGATATCACGGTGTGATCGAACTTAAACGCAATTCTCACGGATAAAATTATAAGAAATGTTTGAAAGACGATGTGGCTAATTGATTTTTGGATCTTAAGATTGCAAGGGCTCAACTGTTTTTTTTTTTTAGTAACTCCTTAGCAAATTCTTGTAAACCCTATAGCCCATTACCTCTACTGGAAGGCACTGGTTGCTTATGCATCCAAAGC